GGGGGGGCGGCGACAGAAACCAAACCAATTAAACATGCAAGTCCGTGCTGAGAACCAACGCGCGCGCCGGCAGCACACACACACACACTTTCGCGTGATTTGTTCCCGGCATGTGTCGTAGGGACAGACGCAGCGACGTGGTGCGATGACCAAGCAATGCCCCACATCAAGCTACTGCGGCGGCGTGAACCTCCTGCTTGAAGCAACACGACCTCATCGTCAACCAGCGCTGGTTGTGTATAGGCATCATCATCATCATGACACGTCGGTCAGAAATCATGAGTTCGTTGCAGAGTTGTCGTCCTACTCCGTCCGACGGGGGGGGGCGGGGCCGATAGAGAAACAAAAACAACGAGACACACAAGACAAGTACATGTAGGTCAGGTAAAGCTTCGAACTCATCGCCAACTTGTCGTTCTACCCCCATCCAACAGCAACAACAACGACCAACAACATCACCAACAACAACAACCACAAGGACAGCGGTTCGCCATGAAGCTGAAGCCAAGGGCCTTAGGGGGTTCTTTCCCATTCACTCATTCAATCATCGCCTACCTGCGTGAATATGTCAAGGATGGCCCTGGAGCGGTCCTTCTCCTTGTAAAGGAACTGGCAAGACGGGGTCAAAAGCTGCGCCGCCGCCCCGATGTGGTGGGAGAAATCTGTGAACATGTCGGGGAGTGTGTATTCCGACTAAATCAAACACCCTGGCGTAAGGGGGGAATCTGTACCGCGTATACGTGTGGTAGCAAGCAACAAGGACCACGGAGCGAGGTTTTCATCCGACTCCATCAAACATCCTCATGTGGATGGATGGGGTAGAAAATTGTTGAGAGGCGGCAGGAGAAATCGGGTCGGTAGCGAGGAAAGAGGACCCCGGACAACACATCACGGGGACCCCGGAGAAGGGACAATATCTGCCGAAGGTTTGAAAAAAAAAAAACAATCTTGTGTCTCGAAGAGCGGGGTAGGCGTATCTCACACTCGTAACCCGGGCGATGTGAAAAAGGGGGGCGACGAACCACTGTACATCTAACACGGCAACGTCATCATCTCCATCCCTTACAGTGTAGATCCGGTGCGGTTGATGATCATCCCTATACTTTAATGTACATCCAAACGCGTCCGGTGCGGTTGATGATCATCCCTATACTTTAATGTACATCCAAACGCGCCCTAAAAAAGGAAGGGGCAGAATCGCTGTACATCCAACGTGGTGGGTCCTTTGCGTGTTCATCCAACACGGCCATGACATCACCATTATCCTTATCCTTGACGTGCCCGCGATGATAACCCCTCGTGTAACAAGCAAGACGTGCCCAACTCCTAGCAAGAAGACGATAAATATACTTTCACAGCCTCCCTCCGGGG